TTTGGACAAAGGATTGTAGTCTTTAGTTTTAGCCCTTAAAAAGTGTTATACTCTGGTTTATTTGTAATAATTTCTGTTTCTCTTATTCTTGCTTAATATCAACTTTATTAATAAACTCATTTTGTTTGATCTTAAATTCATTTAAGAACTGTTATATTAAAATAAGGTGTCTCCCCTCAGCTGAGCCAACAGGCTAATGTGTATACTGTCTTTTTGGAGATGGGTGGAATAGATCATTTCTGTGCATGTCTAGCAGAGGAGACTGGACACAGGAGCAGGGGAGGGTAGCGGCCACATAACCCCCCTCCTTCCGAGACCCTCCTCACCCACACTCTGCCCTGCCTCTTCCTCCGAGCAATACAGCCCACGGGACTAGCAGGGTGGATATCAGAAGCCGGGGTCCGCCCGCCCCTCCCTCCCCCACACTCACTGGCAGAGGTAGGGGAAGAGGAACAATGCCCCCAGGCCTCCCCCCAAATTTCCCTGCCAGTTGCTGGCTGGACCCTTCCACCAGTGGTGTTTGGGGGGGCACGTGGCCCCTCACAATTCACCTTTGTTGTGCGGTTTCAGGGGCTGCGTAAAGAGAGAAACACTCTTCAAGAGAGTTCAGGAATTAAAGTAAGTCTATTGTTACCTACAAGGTGAAATAAGGACTGAAAGGAACCTAAGGAGTTTGTTGAGCTAGCAAACAGCCTGGGAGCTGACACGTGGTTTAATAGAAGGATGTTAAGTAATGGTTAATTTACTAGTTGACTAGTCAATGGAATTTCCATCAACTACTCGACAGGCACTTCTGCATTCCTCCTTTGAAATGTGCAAGAACCACTGCTGGGGCTCTTGTACATTTCAAAGCTGCAGCACAGCATGGAGTCTGAGATCAGCGCGGGACACTGACCCCGGGCTCCATGCTGCACTGCCAATTTGAAATGCCACGTGGAGCTGGGGTCAGCTGGGGGTCCCTAGATGATACCGGGCTCTGCAGGTTCCGCTCAGCATTTCCCCAGAATCCAGGGTCAACTGAGAACTCCCCAGCTGGTCCCAAGTTCCACAGAAATACCATGCTGGAGCCCAAAATCAGCTGGGGAGTGCCCAGCTGACCCCGGGGTACATGCATGGCAGTGCCGCACTGCTGATCCCAGGCTCAGCTATGTGGCACTGTTCCTTTCAAATGCTGCCTCGGCGTTTGAAAGGGACAGCACAGCACAGCTGATCCTGGGCTCAGATGTGTGGCCCTGCCGCTTTGAAGTACCCTCTCTTCACCCCCCCCCCCTTTTCTGCCTCTATCTGATAAAGGCAGCAAGGCGGGGGCGGGATCGACTAGCTGACTGACTATCTGATAAGCATTTGCTTATCGGATAGTTGACTAGTCCTTAACATCTCTAGTATAGCAGCAAATCTCTCTCCACTGAGGCAGAGGAGTCACAAGGTGACTTGCAGTTCTGAGCACCCCAAGAAAGCATCACAATTTTACCTATTAATTCCCCGAGTTTGTTAAATCTGTATTTTTTAAGTCTACTGTCCTTATTCTGCTGCTCTAACAGTCTTTCCTTAGAATCATGAAATCTATTATTTCATGATCACTGTCACCCAAGTGCCTTCCATCTTCACATCTACAATTAATTCTTCCACTAGTCAGAAATTCCTGCAGAACTATGTTCCGCTATAAACAGTCACCATTTATTATTAAAATATATTAGTATATCCAGAAAAATATAACTGCATAATATAACAGTTCTAACCATTTCACATACTCATCTTCGTAACGAATACATTATTAGTTACCTACCTTTTACTAAATTATTTATTCAAAGGGTAAAGTGTGGATGATGGCTTTGGCAAAGTCAACCACATCTTTAATTTATTCAGAATCCTACATCTTACTTTAAATTGATGTTTAAATTACAGTTACAATTGCACACTCACTGTCATAAGGCACAAACCAACTCCTGGTAAAACAAATGATACACCCCCTCTGACTTTTTTGGAGGCAAAATCAGGGCCTTTCTAGTTCATAATTTCTGTTCTAAATAATTATTTCCAGTGATAAATTAATCTCCAGTGATCTACATATACTTTTGAGAGAAAGAAGACACAAGAGCAAATAGCTTCATTTCTCTTAAGATGACAATAAAGAAGAAAGCTGTAATAAGTTATATAGTAACTATGAAACAAGTAGAATGTATAAAGTTGTCATGGAACATGAGTCCCATATCTAAAATCATTGAAAAGATCAGCACACATTTTCCTTTTCACTGATACTGAGTGAGTATCTAATGGAATTTAAGGGGAAATTATTCATAATAATTCATATTAAAGAGCAGGTTTGTATTTCAGCACACAGTTTAAATATGGCAAAATAGATATGTATTCTGATTTTTTATTTATTTATTTATTTAATTTATTTATTTTTATCAACATACCTTTTCTCCCCTGCAGACTTAACACAGCACAATATTAGCCTGTTGGATGAGTGGCTTTCAACAACAACAAAACAAAACTATATCAGGAGACTGAGCACTGGGATCTGGGTGATGTTTGCTAAAAAGTTACTTGTCTAGAGGATGTAAATGGGAACAGATGGGGCTGTGTCAGGGAGAATCTATTTAAGGACAGAGAACAAGTAAGCCTGGCTCTGTGACAGACAAGAGCTTCCAGTAAAGCTAATGAGAGTTGCAAATACTTTTGAAGTTCTGGTCCTGATTTGTCCAAGGTTACCCAATAAGTTGATGGCAGTGACAATAGAACCAAGGTCTCCGTACTGACCCATCCCCCTACTTTATAGATGTTCCAAGATTTTTCTAACTTTATATTTAAAACATTGTGGAACTTGCTTGACAGATACAGATACTCTCAGGCTGTGTCTAGACTGGCAAGTTTTTCCACAAAATCATCTGATTGTGGAAAAACTTACCAGCTGTCTACACTGGCCGCTTGAATTTCCGCAAGAACACTGACAGACAATCTCATGTAAGATTGTCAGTGTTCTTGCGGAAATACTGTGCTGCTCCTGTTCGGGCAAAAGCCCTCTTGCGCAAATCATTTGCGCAAGAGGGCCAGTGTAAACAGCACAGTACTGTTTTCTGCAAAAAAGCCCAGAGGGCTAAAATGGCGATCGGGGCTTTTTTGCGCAAAACCACGTCTAGATTGGCCACGGACGCTTTTCCGCAAAAAGTGCTTTTGCGGAAAAGCGTCCTGCCAATCTAGACGCGCTTTTCCGAAAATGCTTTTAACGGAAAAGTTTTCCATTAAAAGCATTTCCGGAAAATCATGCCAGTGTAGACGTAGCCTCCTTGAATGTGTTATATACCGACCAAGTATTGCTTTGCAAGGTGGAAAGATCTTATTTAACAATTGTTGAAGCCACCTTACATCAAATCAAATCATGCCACTTCCTATCAAAACATGCAAGAATTCTAGTTAAATGGGAATGAATGTAAACAGAACAGTAATCAGTCATTAGTGCCAAATTACAGCAGGACCACTGAAACAAACAAAAATCCATACAGAACTGTAAGACATCCACACCAATGTCGACAAAGCTTTTATCAATCTCAGTTTTAAGTAAAATATCAGATATTAGAAGTAAAACATTCTGGCTACGTCTACATTGGCCCCTTCTCCGGAAGAGGCGTGTTAATTTCCAACTTCAGAATAGGGAAATCCGCGGGGGATTTAAATATCCCCGAGGGATTTAAATAAACATGGCCGCTGCTTTTTTTCCGGCTTGGGGAAAAGCCGGAAAAAAGCGCCTAGACTGGCGCGATCCTCCGGAATAAAGCCCTTTTCCGGAGGATCTCTTATTCCTACTTTGAAGTAGCTTGAAAAGCGGCGGCCATGTTTATTTAAATCCCACGGGGGATATTTAAACCCCCTGTGGATTTCCCTATTCTGAAGTTTGAAATTCCAGAGAAGGGGCCAATGTAGATGTAGCCTCTAAGTGTTTCCAAATACACAAGTACAATAAATAAGTTGAATTTTCAACATGTATTTATAAGTTTTACTCTACTGAATTGATGTGCCATGTACTATGTAGCATGAACTGACATATAATGTATCATTGTAGTAAGTGCTAGATACCAGCTAAGCATCAGATAAAGGGTATTATGGTTCATCATACTGTGCCATGGTAAGATGTGCTTTTCTACTGGAAACACTGATTTTTTTATAACAAGCAGCAGTGTATTAATGAGCTTCATGTATCTTATAATAATAACTAGGAACCAATTCTGCTACCTTTATTTGAGTTTCAATTAAGACCATTTTCAAAAAAAGATAAGTTTTAAAATAAGTATAGAAGAATCCATTTTTAAAGCAATCCACAATATTTTATAAAACTATATCTATACCAATATGAGTGTGTATGTCTATGCGTATGTGTGTTGGCGAGTCCATTTGTTCAAGAATTCCTCCTAAAAGAATTCCTCCTAAACAGAGGAATACAGCTTCCTCTTATCATAACTTAAAGCAAGGTCAGGGTCTGGTTGTGCCACGCCAACCAGAAGCACTGAGAAAAGAACAGTTTCTATTACATACAAAAGGAAAGGGTTGCTGTTCTGAGGGACATGATTTAAGAATGGTCAGCTGGGGCTCCACCATCTTCCTTGCCAGTACATCAACCGTTTTTCCCTATCTTGGCCCTTAGCAGCAGTGCAGGGGGAGGAAGGAGAAGACACCCCTGAGAGTTGGGGGTAGGCTGTGGGGAGAGAAAATGCCCCTGGTGGCTAGGGAAGGGATCTGGGGGGAGAAAAGGACCCTAGCAGCTGGGGGCAGCCTGGGAGGAGAGAAAAAAAGGTCCATGCCCTCTGGCCTGAGCCCCTGCTCATCCACACAACCCTCACTCTTGCACACACACCCAGCCCCCAGCTCATGCACTCCTTCCTTCCCTCACATCCCCAAGGCCCTACCCTGTGTCCTGCACCCTCACTATGCCAGTCCCCTGCCCTGAAGGACCAAGATAATGCAGATAAGTCTACTAGTTATAAATAAGATAACGTACATACTTTTCTGCTTGTAGCTTTGTCGTCTTCACCATCAAATCCTGGGTCTGTTCCTTCGCTGCCTAGAATATAATTGGAATTATTGTACTTATATCAACCTTACATGCACTACCTAACTAATTCAAATTCTACTTTTTTTTTTAAAATACATTTTAAAAGCCCTCTAATTACAAATAATTTAAATGAAGTACTCTTAATGAGAACTGCCTTGTTATAAAAATGTTGCAAAAAAGCAAATATGATTCTAGGTTTTATCAACAGGTGTGTTGTAAGCAAAACTTGTGAAGTCATTCTGCCGCTCTACTCTGCACTAGTTAGGCCTCAGCTGGAGTACTGTGTCCAGTTCTGGGCGCCACATTTCAAGAAAGATGTGGAGAAATTGGAAAGGGTACAGAGAAGAGCGACAAGAATGATTAAAGGTCTAGAGAACATGACCTATGAAGCCAGGCTTCATGAACTGGGCTTGTTTAGTTTGGAAAAAAGAAGATTAAGGGGGGACATGATAGCGGTTTTCAAATATCTAAAAGGGTGTCACAAGGAGGAAGGCGAAAATTTGTTCCTCTTGGTTTCTGAGGACAGGACAAGGAGTAATGGGCTTAAAGTGCAGCAGGGGAGGTTTAGATTGGACATTAGGAAAAAATTCCTGTCAGGGTGGTCAAATATTGGAATAAATTGCCAAGGGAGGTGGTGGAATCTCCCTCTCTGGAGATATTTAAGAACAGGTTAGATAGACATCTGTCAGGGATGGTGTAGATGGAGCTTGGTCCTGCCTTGAGGGCGGGGGGCTGGACTCGATGACCTCTTGAGGTCCCTTCCAGTCCTATTATTCTATGATTCTATGACAACAACCCTTAATCAATTATTTCCTAGTTTTCAATATTTAGGCACTTAGATTTATATGCTATTGCTCAGGTCCTTCAGGCAGGGGGCAGAGGGT